CAAGAGTGCGAGCTTTCGGGCCAAATGATCCTGCTGCTTGGCGAACTCGTCGGAGTACTTGTGTAGCAGCCACAGGACAAATTTCAGAAGACCATGTGATTCAGCTGCCTTTGCCGAGAGATTGTAGGTATCCTGATTGCCAATCATGCTGATTGTCAAATTCCAAACCTCGCATGTGTGGGAATATCGACTGGGGCTTGAAAGGCTTTAGGTTACAGGGTTTAAGTTTAATGTGGAGGTGTCGGGTTTTGTGATTTTGCCAATACGGGCTTCTCGGGCTCGGGCTGAGGGATTACACTGCTCAATGGTTTTGGGGATAGAGTATTGTAGGATTTTAACTTATCGGGATACACACTAAAATTCCAAACAAAAGGCCTCGGAGCCCTTCTCTCGCCAGCGTGGGTCGGTAGTTCTCAGTTGCTTGTAGAATTGGAACAGCTCAGCTTTGATTGCCATAAGGGCCAGCTCTCGAACATCGGCAGCTTCCATGTTGGCCGCCCGGGGCGAAAAAACCCCCGAAGCGATGAAGGTGTGCATAGCCAGGCTTATGAACTGCTGCATGGGCCCCAAGTGCCAGGTGTGAAGAATGTCAATTGACCAAGTATCATGTGTAAGCCCCTCCAACAGAAACAGAGGGCACATGTGGGTCAACCTTTCATTTCTCGCCCCAGTCCAAAAAATCACCCGAAGAGGAACCTCTTGGTTTTCAAATTGGCTCACATCAGGAAGCGATCGGCTGGGTTCGAGTCGCCAGTTCTTTTGGAGGCCAAAGCGGGGGAGATCGGTGATAAGGTGTCGTCCACGGTCTGCAGTGCTGTACTCAAGATTCCGGGCAATCGTCCGAAGCATGTCGTCACAGTCCACTAGAATTTCCTCGTGGATTGGATTGTAAGTGGTCTGGGGCTATAGGGTTTGGGTGTTCGACATAGTTTTGGAATCAACCAAAAAATGAGGCTACTGCTTAAAGTGTCGGCTTTCAGGGATTAGGATTAGGGTCTTAAGGGTTTGGGTTTGGGCTTAAAGCGTGGGCTTTTAGGGATTAGGGTTTTGAGGGTTTGGGGTAGCTTTTAGTCACAGGCTTTAGTCACCTTGGTGAACTTGTCGATGTCGTTGTTGTAGTCTTCCACAGTGTACAGATCGTGGCCCAGGTCGTCGAGTGTAATTCCCGGCACAGTTTCAGGATTCATTTCTGCTTGGGATATAAGGCACAGAGGGCAGGGGTGCTCCGTGTGGTTCCAAAACCTACCCCCTGTAATCTCCAAATATGCAGGCCAGTCGCATTGGATGTCAAGAACAGCACACTGATTCGACGATTGTAGTTCGTGTAGATCCTTCACCCAAGCATCCACCAGCGGAAAGAGGCTGCACCACCCACGGCAGCCACAGCGACACATGTCTTCGGAACCTGAAGACACATTCTAGGGGGCTTAGGGTGTAGAAGTTTAGAAGCTAGACTAGGGGAACAGAAGCACACATCAAGTCAGCCCGAATCTTTGGAAAGCGGCGAAGCAGAAAAGATACAAACTTCTGCCCAGACAAAATGTCGGTGATGTAGAACCCAGTGAAAGAACTGTGCACTGAGTATCGGACACCGTCCCAGTAGAGCCCAAGAGGTCTTACAAGGCTCTTTTGCCCAGCAGCACGGGCCCTGCAAACAACAGGATGGTTTTCATAGCTCGGCAAACCTTGCACCATTTTGCAGAAGTTCGCCTCGTCCTTGGCTAGCACCTCGGGGCGGAACACGTAGTTCTTCAAAAGGGTTGAGGGCAGCATCATCGGGATTGGCTCCGACACTCTCCTGGATTGTCTTTTTTCGAAAAGAGGGACCTGCACGTAAAACAGGTCCGGTTCAGGAAACTCTTTTCCCGCGTGAAGCTCTAGGTGCTCGTGCCCGTGGCGGCTTGCTTGTTCAGGTTTGAGTGCCCAGTCTGACACTCC